ACACCAAACCTTACATTAGCAGCGTTTAGCAGTAGGACATGTGCATACACTGGTCAAATAATCCTTAATCCTGGTTACATATATTGTGCGGAAGTGAAAATTAAAGATAATTTTTCATTTGGCCCAGACCTCCTGGTGAATGGCAAACATGATGTCCCCATAAGACCGAAAATTACAGCTAATGATACTTCAAGAAGAACATAAATAAAAGGAAGGTTCACGTTGTATGGTCTTGTAAAAACATGTACTAACGTTCCATCTATCGGGAAGACAAGCCTACTTACTTTCTCATACAAGATGCAATGATGTGTGCTGAAACCAAAACCAGAGACAAATTGCAATGGAGCATGGTACACTGAGTTCAACATTTTCAGTTAAGATGATGTAGCATGGATAAAAAAGATTACAACCATAGAGATAGTCAATCCCTGATAAAATACTATTTGAGCGTGTTTCCTTCTTGCAACAAATGAAAAGCAGTGTTTGTTTCAATTAAAGACACAATTTATGTTGTTAGACACTCAATATTGTGTTTAAAGAACACATTTTCTTACACAGGACAAAGTCAGGTACTTAAATGTTGGAACCCATTCAATCATTGCTCAGAGTACATATCTGGTAATCCTCGTTGACTTCAAAAAGCACATCATTGATATTCTGCAATTCTACAATTCTACATGTCACATAGCGGATGCTTTAATCCAAAGCAATATACATCAGAGAGTAAGTACAAAGATCTATACAGGAGGGAACAACGTCAGTAAGTGCAAAGAACTTGTGCAGTATGCTGGATTGACCAACATAGTGCACATGATCAGAGGGACATGTAACACGTTGAAACTGTTTTAAGATAATGTTGGAGGTCTAAGGAGGAGTTAAGCTGGATTAGACATTGGTTAGATAGACTTTATTATCTATAAAGCAAAACCATCATCGTTACCATCAAAATCATCATTGTCTAAATCGATATCATTACTGTAAGTGCGTAGGTGTTCATGAAAGAGCTGGGTCTTTAGCTTTTTCTTAAAGGTGCAAAGGGACTCAGATTAAATGGAGTTTGGTAGTTTCTTCCACCACCGGGGGGCGACAGAAGAGAAGAGCCTATTTAGATGCTCATCATTGCTGTAAGCCCTTCTAGTGTCTCTTGAATGTCACGAGCTTCCTTTGTCTTTGGTAGTCAGAAATCATTGCAGTGCCATCTTCCTCAATAGGGTAGATGGTAACTGAGAATTACTTAAGATGTCACAGAGGCCACCAACTAACACCTCCACAGTCTCAGTTCTGCAGTATTAAGGATGAATCCCATTAGGACACTACAGATGAGACATGAAAAGAAAAGAAGCTAAGATGCACTGATGGAGGACAAGCAGCCGGGCTTGAGCAAAAAAAAAGAAACGAAAAACAGAACACGCTATGTCTTGTTTGATGCTGTGGATTTGTTGCCTCATCCACCACCACTTTGTTTGGGGACTTTGGGATTTGTGGTCAGGGATTACAGCAGGCCACAAAGGCAGCTTCTGAAGCAGCTGATAACAGCAGCCGGTCGCTCTGACTGGGAAGAGAGGCCAACAGTTGGGGTTCAAACTTGTAAATCTGTCCAATGACTAAGAAATTCAGCAAAAGGAAGGGACAGACATTGTAGGAAGTGTGTACTTTAAGCTCTTGGAATACTGAGTGTTTGAATCTCATTTTGAATATTTCAGGTTCCCTCCTCACGCCACAGGCAAGAGAATCACCTGCAAAACATGGACTTAATTTTCAAATGTTGGTCCATTTTGTCATTTTTGCAGATTGAAATGCACATCATCGATTCCTGAAGAGTCCCCCGAAGGTGTAATATAAAGCAAACGGTTTCCACAAAATTTATTCCATTAAACGTTTAAAATTTGGCTGAGGTACTGATTTTTTTTTTTGGTGCATAATCACTCACATAAATGGTAACAAATCTTTAAAAAAGATAATAAACCATGCATGAAGAGGATCAAAAACAAAAAAAAGAAGTAAAAAACAGCAAACAAATGACTAGAGGAGAGGAATTCTTCCCCCAGAAAAAGCATTTGTTTGTGTGCAGATTCTTGAGTGGTGTGTTAGAGTTTTCATGTTTCACCCAAAACAAAATGTCCCCTAGCCAGCAGCAGAGGGAAGGTGGAGCCGGGCCCTTCTGTTTGGGTAAGATAACTCAGTGCGTTAATACAGAGGCAAAGGGAGCTGTGTCGTCTTCAAACTTTTAGACAGATGTAGTTCATCTGGAGTCGGGCCAAAGACGACACTCAGAGGACCGCAAACGCTGAATGTGACTGCAAACACATTTCTGATAAAAGTGTGGAAAACTAAAGTCCAACGCTTAGCTGAACTGATGCAGAACAAGTGCTTGTAAACAAAAGAGACAGAAACATACACAGGCAAGTGCTGCCAGGCTGGTTTAGGGTGATAGACTTTATAGAACTGCACAAATTTATGGCAAACTTACACAGACAGGATTCCCCAGAGAGCCTCTTATATTTAATTGTGTAAGGTAGGCCTACACTTGCTCAACAATACTTAACTATAAGTTAAGCTGCTCTACCTCAATTCTACTTTAAACTTCTCTACAACACAATGTTGACATGTTTCACATTCACTGTTATTTGTTATTTGTGTGGAAATGAATGTATGAAAAAAAGGTTTGTGTTTTCCTGACCAAATAACTACTTCATTTGGATAAAATAACTGCAATAATCCACATTTAAATAATAAATGACACAATAATACAATCAGCTCCACCATGACCAACTAAAAATATAAATGTTGCCTTCATATGAATGCATCAGTTAGAATAATCTAATGATAGTCTGTGGCAGAGGCCAATAATCTGCAACAAGAGCACTTTGTTATGATGTGGTCATTATATGCATTCAAGACATAATACATGCTTGAAGTATTTTATAGAATAAGTTACATCTTCTCTACTTCTTAATGTACCAGGTTCAGTGTAATGTAAAATCAGATATTTGACCTCTCAAGGGTTTCTTTTATAGATCGTAATTTTTTAATTAAAGGTTCTTATATCGGGGCACTGGTGGCGCAGTAGTTAGTGCGCGCCCCCCATGTATGGAGGCTATGGTCCTCCAAGTGGGCAGCCCAGGTTCAAATCCCACCTGTGGCTCCTTTCCCGCATTTCATTCCCCACTCTCTCTCTCCCTAATTAATTTCCAACTCTATCCACAGTCCTAGCTCTCCATTAAAGGCACAAAAAAGACCAAAAATAAATCTTAAAAAGAAAAAGATAAAAAAGAAAAAAGGTTCTTATATCAGGAATTATTGGTGTTTGACATTGCACAAAAGTGTCTGAAGAATTCAGACACAGGGTGTCATTCTATTCTATGGTAGCTTGGAAACTAATTGGCGGTGAAAACTTTTTTAAAGCAAACTTTTGAACAGTTTAGTGGCTCAGCAGAGTTTACCAAAGACAATAAATTGAGTAGCTGCAGGGGTGTTGATTGGTGCATTGGTGACAATCTGAAAGCTGTGTTGGATATGTGCTGTTCTCGGATTCTGAAAATGTAAATGATGCAGGACACAAAATGTGTTACATTCCCTGATTTGTTTTGTTTGGCTTCGTTGTTGGCTTGTGTTGTGTTGTCTTTTGTCTTATGTTAGCAGTTATTTCCTAGCAGCAGTTGAATTCAGATTTGGTATGTCAGTATTTACAGCAGGACCACAGTCTATGCTGGATTGACCAACATAGTGCACATGATCAGAGGGACATGCAACACGTTGAAACTGTTTTAAGATAATATTGGCGATCTAAGGAGGAGTTAAGCTGCATGAGACATTGGTTATAGACTTTATTATTTAATAACCCGTCACCCAGGAGATGGGATCATATTTATACCTTTATACCCTGACTGTAAAGAAGACTTTTAAACTAGCATGTGAGACCATATACTTATTAATGAAATGTTGGTGTCGACAAAATCAATCGAATAGTCGAGTCATTATCTGTTAAATTTACAATAACATCTGAGTTCTTTTTGGAACCAGGGTTATCACCCCCTGCTGGCCATTACAAAGAATACAGGTTTAAGGCACTAACACATTAGCTTTCCTTTTTCATTAAAAAGCTTAATCCACTTTTTATAAACATATTTTAGAAATAAAGTAGATATTTGTTTTGAGTTCACATCATTGTTTTTTTTTATCACTGGATTTGTTGGCAGCAAGAAAAATAATTGAGAATTGTCTGGCTGGTTTGTGAAAGGAGCAGGTATCATTCTGAAAAATAAAAGGAACCTTTTCCTATAACAGTCTATGTCTAACACATACGGCTTTAATCTACTGTAAGACACTAGATTTAGTACCATGTTTCAAATCCTGAAAAAAAGGGACTCTTATCCATTAGGGAAATATGAAGATTGCAAGGCATAATGTTGCCCAGATGAAGAATAGCAAGAACTGTCTGCCATCAATCACATGAACTGTCTCTATAAACTTGAGGATAAATCATTCGCTGGCAGATGAGAAAATATGTCAGCAGTCTACAGGTGGAACTTCAGCAATCATCTGAATACTAAAAGGAAAGCTCATTCCACCTGAGCTGACTTGATCGTTTTCCTGCGAGGAGAACTGAAGTGTTCACTCTTGCAGAAAAATATAGGGTCTAATTACAATAATTAGTCTGTTCCAGGGCAACTTAGCCACTTTAATTTGATATGCTCCAGCTACATATGGCAGGTGGACAGTTAGTTTTAAAAGAAGTAGAAAAAAACAACTACGTTTTATTTTTTTCAGGTGTCCTATAAGTTGTGCACCCTTTAATGTGTTTTAATAATTCACAAGGATTATTGTAAGATTTTGTTCAAAAGTAAACATTGTGTTTGGAGTAAGGGATTGGTGATAGGATGGGCTGCAGGCCGGGTGGGTGGGGGCAGCCTCAGCATCAGCGCTCATGACGTCACCAGAGTTTAAAGTGGGCCGCGCTTCACCCAGTGAAGTAGAGGAGAGAGAAGAGGGAGGAAGCAGACGGCGGGTCCTCTCACTCACACCTGACTTCGCTGTGTGTTAAAAACTCGCCGGTTGTGAACTCCACTAACTACCTGCGACGTTACCTCACTGAATTTTGACTTTTCATGTTCTTGGAACATGGGAGACCGTCGTGTTGCACAGTGGACCCGCTGAACGCTGTTTACCTGAGAGTGATAACTTTACATCTCAAGTCTCCTGAAGGGTGAGTTCAAAATATATATATATTTTTTATATATGTAAAAAGGGACAAATTAGGCTTTATTTATTCGGCAGAGGATGCTAATTTATTCTGAAGCTTACACACCAAAAACTGTCAGCTTTGCAGATGTTTGTTATATGACAAAAGCTGCTTTTTCAAATGTTTTATGTTGTGTTGTGTTGTGGAAGCGGTCCGCAGTAGGGTGCAGGCAGTCTTACTGCCGTTTGGAGAGCTAGCTGTTGGCTGGTTGATGTGACAAATTGTGCTTTCTATTTAATTAGGCTATTGGCGAGTCTATCCCGTGGAAATGTGTGTGCTGTGCCAAAGAAAAGGGCTGTATCATCTGGAGAGTTTTATAATCCCCTGCAGCTATGTTATTGTGCTTTATATGCTTCTCAGCCTATAAGTTATGCCTAGAAAACTATTGTTTTAAGAGATTTAAAGGCTTGTAACAGCCAATGACAATACTATTGAGGGATGCATTTCACTTAACCTGCTTCAGTGTAAGTTTGAGATATTTATAGCCAAGCAGTGGGTTCCCTGTTTGTGATAAGTTTGACAGCCGAGCCCGATCATCATTGGGTCCTTTTTTTATAAAATGTAGCATTTGACATTAACATTGGTTTGGTGCCTGAATGTTACTGCAGTGTTATCAAATGTTTCTCAGTCTGAATTTCTTGATGGTCATTTTTCATCGTTTTGTGTCAAAGTCCAGGACAAGATAAACAATCCAGCATCTGTGATGGACGTTTCGATTCAGTCCAGACTTTAAAATCACGAGATGACTTACAGCTCTGTTATTTCATTTTTGAGCCACTAGATGACAACAGAGTGCAGGCTAAAGCATCTGATTAAACTTGCATCAGTCTATCAGTCAACGAGCAGAACTGCACCATGGCTTGTTAATGAAATCATTACTGCTGTTGATTTCCTTTGTGGAGAAATAAACAGACTGAGAATGCTTTTGTAGAATCAATGATTATTATCAAATCACTGGCAAATACATTAGGTGACACTCACACACACACACGCACACACACACACACACACACACACACACACACACACACACACACACACCCCCTCTCTTATTTGAAACAGCTGGAGCCTTACAGTAGATGCTGTTGTCTTGCTCTGCTGGAGCTGCATACATTGTAGCCCAAGCCCTGCATGCTTCCCCGCATTACAGCAATTTGTCATAAAGTCATTTATCATAAATGTACTTCGGCATTTCAGCAGAGCAGATTCTGTTTTGACCCTGAGAGCCTGACGCTGTGTTTACAGTCAAACCATGTTTTCAAAATGAAGATTTTTGCATTTGAATGCCTTTTGATGAATTTCTTTAGGTGTTGTCTTTTGGGTATACATAATGGCGTACCTGTTTAAAGTCTTTATTTAATTCCAAATCCTAATGTGCTATATTGCATTACCCTTTTCCCCCAAAAAATAAAAACAGCACATCCTCATGCAAAAATTTCAAAAAAAGAACTCATCCAAACTCATGTTAAAAACTGTCAATCAGCATTCTCCTTTCTGGAAAGAAGTTTGACGATTAGTCTCAAAATCACAACTATTTTTTAATCAACTGTGGCATCAAACAAGGCAATTTGTGAAATCAGACCATGGGCCGCTTGTTAGAGAATGTGGACTCATTTTTCTCACTTTCTTGTTTTCTTTTGTTATCTGCTCCCTATTGCTGAAATGTAGGCTCTGAACATCTGCATCTTCAAAATGTCAAGTCTTCCCATGCATCGAAAAAGTGTTTTTGTAACAAGTTGTTGCTTATAGCCCAGTGTGTTTTATTTTTATTTCAAGAAGTCAGATGTGTTGTTTTTTGTTCAGTTTTCTTATTTGTTCAATTAGTTGATGATAAAGTGCTCTTGGGACAGTACCATCTAGTTAATGAGTCTGTAGGAGTTGATTTGATCCTGATCAAGTTTATAGAACGTTTCTTTATTCCACTGAATAATGACAATTAATAATATATATATTTTCTGTACACATTCAGATTTATTTCTGTGGTCAAAAGGCTGTTCATCTTCATATACACATACAGTGGTGTCAATGTGCCATGGGGATGGCATACACTTGTTACATGTTTAGTGGGCTCTAAAGTTGTTATAAAGTGTCCATTTACTGAAACTTGTGATCTGTAGGTGGTGGTTGTATACTTTAGGTGGTCATCCAGGGTTTAGGGTTGGTTCAAGCTGTGATTTCATATAACTTTTTTTTTTCCAGCGATGAGCAGTCATGCAGCTAGAAAACAAATTGATACTCATTTCAACTTCAGTGGCTTCCAACCCAGTCACTTCAAAGGCGACATTTGGTACTCCGATGTTGCAAATTCTCACGTTCGTTGAGGAGCAGACACATTTTTTTTCCTAATTTTCTGAGCTCTTCCCAAGCGACAGATCCTTCAAGGACACATAAGTGGCTTGGGCATTTTTGTTGTTGTGTTTGTTCGCTTTACAGTTTGTTAAACCATTCAAGTTGAAATCCTGATGTTTGGCTCAGTCAATACGTTTAATTAGAGCTGATTAATGGAAGAGTGTGGCTGTGGAAGGAAGACAGCTTTCTCACTGCGCAAGGACACGTTCTTTGGCAAAGAAAAAACAACTTTCCATGGTAGGAATTTAAATTATCCATTCCCAATGTAAACTACACACCCTGAAAGAATATATCAGATTAATGTTCAATACACTTTACATTTCTTTTTTATTTAGAGGACACACTAATTCATAATTTAGCTATTCAATAAATGCAATGACACTTGATGAGCGGCTGCATTGCACCCATGAAGGTTCAATAATCTTTTAATCACATGTGAATGAAAAGATTTGGAAGGATGCATCATCACATGTGCTAAACTAGTTTCTCCCTCAGGGCAGATGTGCGGTTGAGTTCAAATATGAAGTACGTAAAGCTAGGCCTGCCTGCATGGTATGAGAAAATGATTCAATTTGCTATAACATTGTTCTATACTGCAGTTATTATATTGTACATGCAATAATTAACCAATTTAAAAAGTGTATGTTAGCATGGTTTGAAAGCATGGACATTATACCCAGGGCTTTATTTGAGAGGTACATGTACTGAATAAGAAAGCATCGCTTGTTTAGGGTTAGGGTTATTATTTTTTATATTTATTGTGACTATTTCAATGTGTGCGCGTTCATAACGTGATAACATTTTCATTAATTGCGGCAACCTCTGGTGTTGAAAAATAAAGCCAATGTGGAAGTCGAAAAAAAAAAAAAAACTGTAGAAGCTCTGGAAGTCACATACACACCCATTGAAATTGCTCATTCTTACAGCAGAAGTGAACATGTTTACATAAAACAGTCTGGTATAAAAATGAATTTAGTCTGAGTGGAAAGATGGAGAGTTAGGTTGAGACAGCATTTCCAATATGGTGACCGCCATAGTCAGGCTTCAAAGTCCCCTTCAGTCACCAATGGGTTACTTGACTGAGACTATGTCGTCCATGTTTATATCCAGTCTATGATTGAAGCAAAATAAATGAATTTGGTCCACTTCACAAGGCCAAATCAACGTAATCAGCTCAGAGTTATGAACCTTTTACAACTACATTTCAACACCTCGCTGTACTGTAATATTTCAGGGCAGAATTTCTTTCAGAGTTGGTTGTTTCCAACACTGTTCGCTGTCAGAGCCCCTCAAAAGTAACAGCTCCAATGACCTTTATTCTGCAAATTAAGCTGTTTTTGCTCCACGCTGACTGATAGATCTTATTATTTCAGCAAAAGTGCACTGAGCATTGAGCAAATACCCCGGAGTCATAGCAACTACATTAACAGAACATAATGAAATCTATGGAGGCAGGACCTGGACTTAGTTTTACTTCTGAAAGCTGTTGCATTTACATTTTACCTGGCTCTGGAGAGGCAATAAAAACATTCGCAATAAACCCACCTCTTATCTCCTTTCCTGCATGTAAACAAATTTAGGATTCATTCTATACTGTGTTCTTTTACTGCAAAGGCTGGCTTGTTTAACTCCTTTTTGTCATGCTCTCACTCTTCTTGTGAGTCTACATTATGGAATCAAATCATGGTCGCGCATGTTTTGCTTCACAACAAAGTGCAAAGTGATGCTAAATTTTTAAGGCCACAAGCTTTTGCTTCTAAAACAGCAAAGCTGGCAGGCATTGAAAATTAAGAATCTGCAATTTAGATTCAGCTTCAATTCTATGTGAGCCGTCCCAAAGGTCCGACCATGTCTGCATCTGATTATGCTTGCATGCATTTAATTAATAATTCGACAATGCGCGGCATTGATGTCGGTCAGCCAGCGCTCTGCAGGGGAATAGATTTCCTGAGCCTGATATCCAGCCACAGCCTCTTAGCAAGGAGCAGAAACGATGAGCTCAGGCAGATTTCAGATACAGGAGCGCCAGAGTGGAGCTGCGTTAATCCCCCCTCCCTCAGGTGCAAGCGCTCCTGGGGAGGAAACGCCACGGACAACCGCTCCCCATCGATGCTTGGCTGTTCTCTGATTAATGCACTCATCAGTTCTTTTCTTGTTTGTTTTAATGACAAGCATGTCCCTGGTGGGAATCTAGTGACTTTTTGCAAATACTGCTGATGCATCTGCTTACACCTGCCACTTTTTTTCTCTCTCTCTTGTCTTGTGTATGGACCGTTGCCATAAAGCCCGAGTCTTTTGACATGAGCAGGCTGTCAGTTACGGTGCAGGGAACCACACGACACATTTTCCAGCGGAGATACAGGAAACACATGAGCTGAGGAAATGAGCAGTGATAAGATCTCAGCGTGTTGGGATGTGTTGTGCTTTGTTGATAAGGCTATTATTCATCATTATGCCTTAGACAGCAAAAACTCCGCTCTCCATCCCAGACATACACTCTTTAAGCGGTTTACTCACTGCTGTACATTTGAAGAGTTGTACAAGCTTCTATTCCTAATTACTGTGGAGTTTGAGAATGATTTAATCACTTGTTTGGACTGTAGTGGAACCAAAAG